CGTACTACGTACGTACTACGTACTACTACTACGTACTACTACTACTACTACTACTACTACTACTACTACTACTACTACTACTACTACTCTCTCTCTCTCTCTCTCTCTCTCTCTCTCTCTCTCTCTCTCTCTCTCTCTCTCTCTCTCTCTCTCTCTCTCTCTCTCTCTCTCTTCATCAAGGAAACTGCAGAAAATGATATTTGAACCGCATGGTATCTCAGCAGCAAATTAAAAAAAAACACAAGCCTAAAATTTCCATTCTTTCCACTGCAAGTTACATTCCCAACGTATTCAATATTTGAAGTAAGATGCACAAAAAGAAATTCAAAGTAGCAGAAGGAGCATATATCAGCACAATCTCCAGAAACTGAATTCCAAACTAGCAAACATTCTCCAATCAGAAAACTAATAACAGCAAAATTCGGACGAATCAATGAGAGAAATCGAAATCAATTAGGTTAAAGAAGAAAAAAGACTACCGTGTTGCGCAGATGCCAGTGCGTGCAAGAAAAGGATCTCAAAAGCAAGCCCAATAAATAGCAGGGGAACCAGGAATTCCCTCATTGATCTTTCAATCTTTTCTCCATAAAAGACCCACAGTCCCATTCTCTCTCTCTCAAAAACACCAAAGTACTGGAAATTTAAATACCCGTAAGCTTTTTCAGGCACAAATTGAAGTAAAATCAGGAGAAAACTAGTGCAAGGAGAGAGAACCCAACACCGAGTCGAAGAAGGTAGAGAGAGAAATAAAACAGTATTTGTCGAGTTATAGTCGATATTCGAAAAATAAGCCTCACTCGCTTGAGGAGTTTCGCCCCAAGCGTGCGATTCGATATTCATATCCACGTAGCAGCGGCGAATGATAGCTTTACACGTGTTCAAGTTGGTGCACTGGTCCAACACAGAGGTGTGGTACGCGTGTAGCCGCTTTTGGTATTACTGCACTAGTGTGGGCCTGTGCTTGCCTGGCTTATCAGGGTTGAAAAGAGCAACTCAGACTGGGTGCTCAGTCGAAACATATATGTTTTGATTTCCAATCAAATCTCTCATCTCTTAAGGGTCTATTTGACTGTACCCTAAAATCCCAATATTTCAAGATAATATAGAATCTATTGTAATTGGAATTATACAAGTTAATATGTCATGTTTGATAGGATCAAACTGGGATTTGAAAACTTGGCGAGTCGAACCGGACTCGCCCGGTTCGACTCGGGAATTGGCAAACCCCGTACCGGTTCTACTACAATACCGGGAATCGCCCGTGTTTAAGAGAATTGGGCGATTCATCGTCGAGTCTCAACAGTGATTCGTCCAAGAACACGGGTTGTACCATGTCCTTCACAATTTTCATGGTTTTTTGCCATTTTCTTATCATTTTTCATCTTTTTCAGTTTTATAATCGAATCTTGCAGGCTTTATTTAAAATTTTTCAGCTATTTCAGTCACTAAAAGGTAGTAAAAATCACCGATTTTGATAAAAAAAATTGGAGCTGTGAAGAACCCTAAAAAAGTTTTAGGGTTCCGCCATTTCTTTGATTTCAAGCCAAAGAGGGCATCATTTTTTATAAAATCTGAGAGTTATTGATCATAAAAGTGTTGTTCAGAAGTTTTTGTTCATAATTTATGAGTATTTTAGACGAATACATATCAAATTTGAATTTGAAGCCACGGGTACATGAAAAACTGGTAAGAATTGTGTTTTTTTTTTTTTACCTCCATTCTATCAAATTCACTCAATA